GGGGGGGGGGTTTCGACGATCCTAGGAGAGGCAGGCAAGCAAGAAATTTATCAACAAATATTCCGAAAATTCTAGATCTCAAATCGTCATTCGAACAGATATTTTCCAAAAATTGTTGTTGGGTGCCCCTGATAATGGAGCGGACTGTCCCATTATGTCTCTTGGTCGTAGTCAGATGGGAAAAGGGGAAATATTCTCATAGCAAAATAAAACGAGGAGTGCTCGTAGTCCCAAAAATTTTGTTTTAACACGCTTTCCGTACCATAACGTACCGAGAGATTTCCAAACGTTATCGCCATAGGGTCGGCTCCCCCACCAAGTAAAAGTACTGCTTAAGAGCGTTCTATTGAATGATTATACACGATAGGATTTCATCCACACGATCGAAAGTTAGAACTACATAGTTACTAAATAAATAGTACCATCTGAAAGTACTGCTGAAGAGGTTTCATTTGAATGGTAAAACCATAGAATTTCATCCACAGACTCAAAAGTTAGAACTACATACTAAATAAATAGTACCATGTGAAAGTACTGCTGAAGAGGTTTCATTTGAATGGTAACACCATAGAATTTCATCCACAGACTCAAAAGTTAGAACTACATACTAAAACAATAAAACCATGTGGAACTGAGTACTGCAGAAAAGGTTCCATTTGAATGGTCACTGTTCATCCACAGACTCAAGTATCTTTGGCCATGTGAAAGCACTGCTGAAGTGGTTTCATGTGAATTGTAACGTCATAGGAATTTATCCACAAACTAAAAAGTTAAACCTTCATACTAAATAAATAGCACCACGTAAAACTACTGCTTAAGAGGGTTCATTTTTACGGGTAACATCATAGGAATTTATCCACATACTAAAAAGATAGAACTTCACACTAAATAAATAGTACCATGTTAAAGTACTGCTGAAGATGTTTCGTGTGAATGGTAACATCACAGGAGTTTACCAACAGACTCAGAATTTAAAACCATCTTTCGAGTGAATGGCTAAAGTAAAAGAACGTACCTGATACAGTGTCTCTTGTTCTGCAAGTGTCTGATCATGGGCCAGCTCCCTGGGCCGAACGGTTTGGCACTGTACCAACAAGAACACGTTCAACCTGTTCGAGCACTGTACCAACCAAAAACAGGTTGAACTTGTACAGTGCTCGATCAACCCACCAGCAGATAGAAATAGTATGTGTAATAAATTGGTGACGAGTGAAATAAGGAAATAATAAGACCCTTGATGATCGCTTTTCAAGTTTCTCATCCTTTACAGGACCCTTGGACCATGTCACGGTCACTGGTGAAAATTAACGTTAATCAGTTTTCACCAGTGACCGACCTGGTCCCCTTTTCTTTCTCCCCCCCGGTAGTATTTGTTGGTTCTCTTTCCTGTTCTCTACTGGATGTACCACTGATGCAGCTGCCCCACCGGAATCAGAAACTCTCAAAACAAGTTGAACTTGTTTTGGTTTGGAGGTGGCCACCAAAGATAGAGATGGTTTGTGTAATCAATAGGTGACGAGTAAAACCACGTTTACGGCAAACGGCAAACGCGAATCGAAATTGTACCGCGTGACCAACTTTTCCCTTTTATTCTTTTCGTCTGCTGTTTGTTATTTCTACATGGAAATTATTTGTTTCTGGTCATGTTCACCGATCAGAATTTTTTTGAACAGTTTTATCTGTTTATTTCCTAAATTTGGAAAATTCTCAACCTTCATCTCACTTTTGCCGTTTGCCGTAGACATGACTCTAACGCGATGTTTTCCATCAGGTTTACGTCAAACGGCAAACGCGGTTTGTTCCTCTTGACGAAGTTTCCTTGTTACATAGTTACTGTTTATTACTTCTGCAACTAAATTAGTATTTTCACGCCATTTTTCATCCATAAGATTTGTTTTGAGCTGTTTTTATCCGCTCATTTTCTGTTTTAAGAAATTAAAAATTCTAAACATGCCGCACAACTATTCTTTTAACATTACCAGTCAACTGACTACAAAAACTAAGTTTTCGGTGCCAGATGTGTCACTTGCAGGATTTTCCACTAACCGTGAAACGTCTTTTTCGTTCTTGCTATCCAGGTTCATTATTGTACTTTCAGCACCTGGTTTCTTGCATGCGCGAAGAAAAACGTCAGCTTCGTCGTCTTTTGCATGACCCTCGCGATAAGATAACATTTTTTGTTGCCAAGGCAACTGTGCGTTTTGCTTCGTAAGAGGTGGAAGCAGCTAAATCGAAGCTCGAGGACTGCTTGAGCGTAGTCAAATGTATCAAGAGAGATGATTCCAACAATCCTGGAATCATCTCTCTTTATACATTTCGCCATCTCTGACTTTCCGCAGAGGAATCGAAGGCTCAGATGGTGGATTGCTATGATCACTTCCGGTTCGAAGGTTTGGGAGACTACTTGACTACCAAGTAGTCTCCCCAACCTTTGAACCGGAAGAAGGTTTAAGAGATGAGGAGCAGTGGGCTTCAGGTTCTGGAATTAGAGATGAGGCTTCCGGTTCTGCTGAAGTCATATCGAGTGAGAACACGGAACTCGTGAGGACGCGTGGTTCTGGAACTCCACAATCTCCAACATCAAATCAAAGATGAAGATGAAGATTGTGGAGTTCCAGAAAACCACGAAAACGCATCAGATAAGGACGAGCAGATGAAAGAGTTGCCCGGAGAACTCAAGCCGGGTATATCAACAACGGCGTAGGAGTCGGCTTGAGGAGCATCACTGGACCAGATTCAGAGAGATCAACAATGGAACAAGCAGTATGTCCTTCAGAAACTATATTGGAGTCAGGAATATCGATGACCACGCAAGTGTTTTATCTAGGGGAAACTTCCATTAAAGGTGTGGACTTGGGAGTGTCTGTTAGGTTCCATGGAGATTGGGCATCAAAGTGTGTGGCTGCCAGCCGGTAAGATGACGGATCTGGTTTGGGTTTATAACTAGCAGAGAGTCAACAAATGTTTATACGGGGAGGCTCCGCCCCGAGGTCCAACTGCTCACCCTTTTTCATACCATTTTTCAGGAAAAAGACACCCCTTTCGTATACCTTCTATTAACAAATGCTACCCCTTTCACATACCTTGTGGGCTCCTGACCTTGTTTACAACTTTTACATCTCTTTAAACTGCTGTAAATGCACTGTCTTTCAAATAGGAATCAATCGACTTTGTTAGCACTCTTAGGGGAGGACCCTTTCACAGAACCAAACGACACACTCCCTACCCTTTTATATACTTCAACTATTGTGAACGATGGTGAAGGACAGGAGAGTATCTGGGTTCAGAACTAGCACTAAAGCTTCAAAAACTACAAAACCGCGCATGATGGGCTTTCTTTTTGTTTGCAAGGCTGGTCAATTAAGAGTCGACGCAGTGCTACAGGACCTTAATGTAAATGCAAACGTAAAAAATGACTTATATAAGTTTATTGTGAGTTTAAAATAATGCTATTTATGAACAATCACTAAACAGTGTCAACTATCAGTTCCTGTCTTAAAAACATTCTTATTTGATATTGGCAATTGATAGAGAGCCAGCCTCGACTAAGACAAGTTCATAAAGGACCTCCGATTATATATCACACAAACAAGGAAAGTCTCTTCCAGTTTCGGTAGTTGGCCCCAGCGCGAAGCGGTCACTGAGCGATCTCTCGCTCCCTTTCGCTTCAGAAAACATAAAAAATCTGCCGCTTGCGCTTGTGAAATATTTGAACT